TATATATATATATATATATATATATATATATATATATATATATATATAGGTAAGTACATATCTATCTATCTGTCTATATATATATATATATATATATATATATATATATATATATATATATATATATATATATATATATATATATATATATATATATATATATATATATATATATATATATATATGTATATATATATATGTATATTTATGTACAAATATATATATGTATATATATATATATATATATATATATATATATATATATATATATATTATAGTTTTTTTTACTAAAACTATTTTATAAATATACATATATATATATTTTATAAATATACATATATATATATAAATATACATATATATATATATATACATATATATATATATATATATATATATATATATATATATATATATATATATATATATATATATATATATATATATATATATATATAGATAGACAGATAGATAGATATGTACTCACCTATATATATATATATATATATATATATATATATATATATATATATATATATATATATATATATATATATATATATATATATATATATATATATATATATATATATATATATACATATGTATGTATGCATAGAGAGAGTTTTTTTTGGTTTTATCAAAGAACTACACGGCAGAGTATGTAATTAGGAAATTTACATCTTTTTTAGAGATTCCAAATACGATTGGAGCTGGCATTGAACTTTAGACCTTTTGATTGTAGCAAGTGCTTAAAACACAGCTGCAAATTTATAAATATTAAAACATAACTATTTTAGTTTATTTTGCAAATGCATAATTATTTAATGAAAATAATAAAGTTCCAAACAGAACTGAAAAAAAATTTTAATTAAAAAGTTAATTAAACATTTTATTCAGTCAATGTTTAAAGATCATGAAAAGAATTTCAGTCAGTCTTAGCAGGTAGTAGGAAGTGAAACCTAATAATAAAGAAGTACATTTAGGATAAACTTTTTAGAGGGATCAAACTGAGCACAAATAGGAACAAAGACAAGACATAAACCAAGAATTGAAGGTAAATGATTAGGGTTATCTGGAAGTCACAAAGTTAGATAGCTGAATAGGAAATTGAAAAAGAAAAAAATTTTGAGCGATTCAGTGCAAAAAGAATTAAGTCACCAATAACAATGGTATTGACAGTGATATATTGAAAAAGGGTTTGGTCAATTTGTCCAAATACAAGATCAAGAGTTTGCAGTCTCTTGAAGAGAACAATAAAGAACAAAAAAAAAAAAGGTGATTAAGGGAAGAGAAGCTAACTGGAAAGAGAAAACTGAAAGCACATAACAGAAGTGTAAAAAGATTTAAATTGATATGTAGACATATGTCTAAACCAAGCATGTGACTATTGTAGTCTTTGCAAATGAAAGGATAGTAGCCATCAATACTGAGATCTAAAAATGAAACAGCTAAAGGTAAATTAGTCTCACAAAGACCAAGTAGGTCTGGTAAATAATGCTAAGGGCAAGTTTCAACAACTTTTTTTTAAATTCATTTCCCAAAGGCCATGAAGGCAACTACTGTTAAGGAGACTACTTTTTAATTGTGATTGCAACTCTCTCTCAACTTAATAACTCTGAAACATGAGAAACAAGGCTGCTGTTCAGAGAAGCAAGTTGAGTGTGATACAGCCAGGGACGTGGTGGGGATCCAACTCAGAACTTCTTTCTTATGATGCAAGCACTCTACCACTACACCATTACCACATAAATGAAATGTTACTTCAAAGATCAAAAGTATATTTTTTTGGTATAACTTTTTTGTATTTTGGTTTAAGTTTTAAATTATTAGAAAACGTGACTCAACCATAAGAAGTGCATGGCACTCTAAGCTAAACAACAACCTTTTGGTTTATTAGACTCATTCCTGCTAATCAAGTTACAACAAAGAACAGTTTATGAAATTTGAACAAGGTAGGCTGACAGCACTAACAGGGACACCATCCATGCACAATATTGCACTGTTAATACTCTGATATTTTACAGTTATTGATGGAATCAACCTCTCTGACAGCTACCACAGAGTTTGGGAAACCATACTACCAGCCAACCTCAGAACATTAAATTAAATTGTAGTGTTGTACCTTAATTATAAGATAACAAAAAGAGTTGCATTGACACTACCAAGGAGTCACAAGCAATAACTTATGAGTGGAGTCACGAAGACTCCATCACCCTAGACAGGATGATGGAATCTTCTTGACTCATCCTTTATCATTCTAGACAGGAATTGTTCAAATACAAGTTTACATAATGCCAGTCTATTAGATATTACTTAGATATAGTTTGAAAAAAATGTTAAATAATTTTTCTGCATCTATATTGCACAAGCGGTACCCAAATGTGTAATTTTTTTTCTCCAAACAATTCTTTACTTTTTTAAGTAATAAAACTTTAGTCTTATCTTGTTGCTTAACCTCAGACCTTTCCTTTTCTATTTTTTTCCAAATATAACTTTTGCTTCAATATTATATGTATGTTACAAAACAGGCCTCGGCAGAAATAAATGAGCTCGAGAGGGGAGAAAAGCTCACCTAAAACAAACATGGTGAGCCATGTGACCTGCACCTCTGAACAGCTTCTTACGAGAGCTTTTAGTTTTTGCACAAGCTATCTGTTTATTCCTTTAAAAAATTTCTTATTAATTACAAAAGTTTATACTTGTTACAAACAAATGTTTGTAACGTTAATATTATAAGAATATATACATAACAAGCATCATTTATTGTGCCATTTATTGTGAAAAAAAACTCTTTAGAGGAGCGTTGTCTTTAGGTTTTTACAATAGCTATCTATGTAGATAGCTATTGTAAAAACTATTGTAATCTTTGGGTTTTTACAATAGCTAGCTATTTATTTATTTGTTAACAACATAACTTATTTGATAAAAGGTTTGACAAAGAGCTACAAAAGTTTTTACTGCTTATAAAAATTATTTTTTATTTTTTTAATAGAATTCAGACATTTTAAGAAATATTACAACAATGAAAAATTCCTTATTAAATAATGTATAAAATATACAATTCATTACATAAAATAATAATTATTATGTAATAATAAAGTGAAACAATTTTATACTTTATCAGTTAAATATTTTTATATTTTATCAATATAATTTACAGTGTAATAATGTTATATTTATCAGTTAGCCCAATCTAATCAAAAACATATGCTTTCAATTAGCGCTCTTTTTTAATTATTATTTTTTATTGCAACAATAGTACCTTTTAAAAAGCATTGCAATTTATTATGCAATTAATTTATATATATTTTTTAAAAATGACTTTGTATTTTTCATTTTAGTTACAATGATAATTATACTATTGAGAGAAAAAATTATACTTTTGTGAGAGCCATAAATTGCTTCTGTAAACCATTTTAGAGAAGTGCCGAGGCCTGCAAAGCCTTTTGTTAATTTTTCTTCATTTTCTATTTATATAAAATTTAACACAACCTCTGATTCTTTGATTATTTTGCAGTCATTTTGATCCAGCAAAACCCCAAGATAAATTTTAAATGGATGATACTATCAGTAGAGTAAAAAGTAGGATAAGTGTTTTTTCTTATTTATTATTGCCTTGATCTTTAAGGATATTAGGCACTCAACTCAATACCACAATCCTCTGTTTAGTTAATTTAATCTTAAAAGCATAACCTAAAAGAATTATATCTAAAGATTCTATCAATTATGTACTGTAATGTGTTATGCTATTTGGAACTCAGAAAGTCACCTGATAGAATATATAAAATGCGTTAGCAAAATAGTTACACTTTATATGTTCTAAAAGTTTATTTTTTAATAGCAACAAAATTTAATAACAAATTTGAACCTAAAAAATTTCAAATTAATAAAAAAATAAAAAATACAATAAAATAAAAAATATAAATGTTCAAAAGTTTTTTTTTATAAAATTTAACACAGTATTACAGGAGGACTTTAGAGCATTTTAGAGGAGCTGTGGCCACCCTGTATTACACATATAATATAATTTTTTTTTATGTTCTGTAGGTATATTTTTTTAGATTATAGATCTAAATAAATATAGCTATATAAATCTCTATAAATATAGCTGAATGTATAACTTCTTTGAAATTATACATTACCCCTACTACCACATGAACATCTCTTCAACCTTCATAGCTTTGATTAACCCAGGACTTGTATGTTATAAAAAAATGTACTCCTAAGAAAATATGAAGATTCTGTAAATAAGATCCCGCTCACTGAAGCGTATGTTCACTACGTATATGTGAAATTGCCCAATGGTAACGAAACTATGATGTCTAATAAACAACCTGCTCCTATTGAAAAAAAAAAGCTGGAACAAACATCAATTAAAATCCTATTTATAACTATACTTTAACTCCTTTTGGTTTTTTTTTCTGTAATCAGAAAATTGAAGCAAAGAATATTTTGCCTTGAAGATATTAATGAGTTTGTAAGTACTGGAATAATCTGACTTGTAAGTTTAAACTTGCTTGAACACTTTTAAGAAAAATATGATATATATTAAGATAAAAAGTGTGGGGAAGGGGGCAAGGGAATCAAGGTGCTTACATCAGACTCAATAAAATTGAAATATATATATATATATATATATATATACATATATATATATATATATATATATATATATATATATATATATATATATATATATATATATACATATATATGTATATATATATATATATATATATATATATATATATATATATATATATATATATATATATATACATATATACATATATAAAAATTTATAGACTTATATAAATAAATGCTTTTATTTTGTACTGTTTTTTCTTATATTTAAAAATTTAATTATACCTTTTTTTAGTCAATATAACATTTGATTATTAACTACACCCCCATCCCTCCAAATTATAATAAAAAATCTGATCTATTCAGTAATTTGTGTTTATTAAAAAATCAATACTACAAGAGTATTTACTTACAGTATCCTGAAAACTTTTCGCATTGCATTCTTCACAAACCACAATTTTGTCCCCAATTCTCACACAAAATGGATTTGATTGCAGTAGTATACCATGATTTAAGTTAACTATGCTTTGCAAAAAAATACACTGGTTATTTACCTCTTTTTCACACAAAGAACAAATAAACTCATTTACTCTAATTTGCAATAAATTTATTTTGCATTTCCACTGGTTCAATAAGTTATCAGAACATAAAAGACAAACATTAACTGTTATTTTATCTGGTCTACATAAATGCTGTAATACAGGAAAATATGGCTCATCATTTACAGCTATAACAAAAACCTCAGTAGATTTTTTGCAATGTTTTTTGCAAATTTCACACACTTTTACTTTATTATTCAGATCAAAAAGTGAAGAGTAATGTATTTTCCATTCTTTTATAATTTTATCAAAGCATTCTTTGCAAGTAATTTCACTACCTGACTCTTTATTGAAAGCTATATTATTGGCCTTAAAAAATAAATCAAGAAATTCTGTGTTTAAATTTGATCCACAACCAAATGATATTTTTTTCATTTCTTTAAAACTAATAGTTTTTAAGCACATACAGCATGATGGTGTGGTAATTTGAAAAAAGTTTGAATAGGCTAGTTCCTTTTTGTCTTTTATGCAGTATACTCTTTCTTCTTGATCTATATTAGAATTTTCAAACTCTTTCCATTGTTTATAAAGAAATACTTTGCACTTTAAGCATGAAAAAGTAAATCCCTTATCAGTGATTGGAAAACATTGTAAAGTTGGAGAAAGGTTTTTCAAGAAAGGAAAGTAAGGATTATCTTTAACAAACTTACAATAAATGATTTCTTGTTCTATAGGTTTAAGAATTTCTTGACATAAGTAACAAGAAAATTCATAACTTACATTCCGTTCAAATACTTTCTCAACAGTATATTTTCTCAAGTTAAATGGAACGTCATTTTTTTCATAAAAAAACCATTGCCTTTTTAAAATTTCATAACATGCAGGGCACACACCAATTTTATCATTGCTCAAAAAAATTTTTTTTTCTTTACATAAAATATCCGTAAAAAATGGAGTCTTTGCATTACTTGTTTGGTTAATATATATATAATTTAGGAGAACAGAGTGAATGTCGGACGAGCATGTTGTACAAGAAAAATTAATGTTATCTAAACGTGATTCGTCAACTTCAGCGTCTTTTTCTTCGGGTTTCTTTAACTTATGTTCTTCATTTTGTTGCAAAAAAACATTTTTAGGATGTTTTAACCAATATAATCTTTTAGAATGAGGTGTTTTATTAATTTCATAGGCGTTCCATTGCTGAATTAAGAAGATATAACAAATGTTACATGATTTATATTTTCCATTTTCGCCTATGTTAAATGATTTTAACAAGCTTTCATGTTGTAAAAATGGGAAAAAGGGCTCATTACGTAAACTAGGTTTAGAGCTTAGACTCCAAATAGCTTTATCACATCCACATAAAAAGCAAATGTTATTTACGTCGCCTAATGATGCAAAATCATTTATAAAAATTCTACACCACTTTGCACCTCGGACCATTATAAAAAATTATTTTCAAATTAGCTTCTATTAAGTATTGGCAAATATTTTTCTTTGACACTTTTTAAGAAACTAAATAATAAAAATCTAGCTTATTAGCAATTATATGTTCTAAAACAACATCAATTCATTTGAATCTCAGCCAAAAGTTTCAGCCAAAGGCAATTTTTTTTTCTTACTATCGCGTACTGTTTGTTTACATTTACTCTCTCACACACTATAAAAATAAACTTTGCTATTCAATGGTTACTTTTATACAACAGATGGAGTGTGTCGGCAAATTTAAAAAGAAGAAATTTTACAAACGATTTCAAAAATGTTCGTAAAACAAAAGTATTACTTAAATTTTAATGTGAGTTTCCACTTGTCCGTTTATTTTCGGGAACGGAAAAGACGTGGGCATGCGTAGTGGAAAATCAAAATTAAAATAGGCACATTTACGTGATGTTCATTCTATTCCTTTCCCATTCCGGTAAATAAAGTGGAAACTCACCTTTAAGGTAGTTCACTTGTACGTTCATCTACGGAAACGGCAAAGGGAGAAAATAATCACGTAAGCATGTGTAATTTTTTTTCGAAGCAAAACTAAGCACGCTTAGTTGATTATTTTTTTCCGTTCCGTTAAAAGCGTAAGTACTTTTATGGAGGTGAGGGGTAGTCAAAAAAACATGTAGCAAAATGCATGGGGGTGGTGAGGGGGTAAGGAGGGTCAAAATAAAAGCGTACGTATTTTATGGACAACCCCTTATATAATTTTTTACCTTGAAGATTGAAAGTGAAAGCCTGCACCTCAGTATAGTGGCTATATAATATATGTTTATAACCTATTTTATATATATATATATATATATATATATATATATATATATATATATATATATATATATATATATATATATATATATATATATATGTATAACACACACATATATGTATATATATATATATATATATATATATATATACATATATATATATATATATATATATATATATATATATATATATATATATATATATATATATATATATATATATATATATATATATGTATAACACACACATATATGTATATATATATATATATATATATATATATATATATATATATATATATATATATATATATATATATATATATATATATATATATATATATACATATATATATATATATATATATATATATATATATATATATATATATATATATATATATATATATACATATATATATATATATATATATATATATATATATATATATATATATATATATATATATATATATATATATATATATATATATATATATATATATATATATATATATATATATACTATATATATATATATATATATATATATACATATATATATATATATATATATATATATATATATATATATATATATATATATATATATATATATATATATATATATATATATATATATATATATATATATATATATATATATATATATATATATATATATATATATATATATATATATATATATATATATATATATATATAATTGCACGGCAATATGTCTAATACAATAATAACGGATCGCGTAAACAGAAAAAATGATAATAACCGTTTTTAATAAGTTTCTTTGAACGCCAATTTAACATAGTCTTAGTAAAATTAAATTTCTATAACGTTACTGAGCAACAACTTTGTTGAACCTAAGTGAATAATAAATGAGTTAATGGTCGAAAAGCCCGAAACTTATGATAATTTTTGTATAAAGTTTTTCTTGCTAAAAATTGATAAAATATATAGTTAGTAAAAGTTTCTTTCAATTAAAATTTTTTAATATAAAAATAAATAAAGTAATGAAATAACAAAAATATATAGGAAGACAATTTGGAGAGTCTAGAAACGTGGACATTTTGAACAAAATAAAAATAAAGTGAGTTTAATAAATAATATGTTAATATTAGATAGAGTGCAATTTCAAATATGAAAAAAATATTAAAGTCTATCTATTTTGACAGTTTTAAAACTTTTTACATTCTTTTTAGATCTTTAAATGTTCTAGGATTGAATAAAATGCAATAATTATTAAGGAATATATAAGCGTAAAATTATTCCGAATTTATTTTTTACACTGAACCCATAAACGTCTGATATTGACATAAATATATTAAAAAACAACTTTTGACACACCGTAAGCGGTTTAAACGTTGTATAACACAACATAGTTCCTTGGCAGACATTGTTGAACGGTGTATTGAGAACTCATGATCGATCTCTTTAACAAAGACCCTTTATTTTTTCTAATAAAATTCTTTCACCTTATTTCATTTTTGTAACATACCTAGGAATGTAAATCAGAAATTCTTATAATATCTTCATCCAGCTTTTTTTATGCTCAAGTAAATTATTCTCTATGAGTAAACTTTGAATTAAAATACTGGTTGATTAATGGGGTTTTTATCACAGATGATAGCAAATAAGTTTCCATCAGATTTTTGATTACATTTAAAAAAAATGATTTACCTGTTCAAACAAAAAGTCAGCGTTAAGTTTAAATATTGGTAACATACGAAATAAATATTTTGGACCACTGTATATTGAAACCAACTCATAACTTTTATTCTAAAAGCACGTGCTGTTAGACCGACGTTATTTTATAAATGCTAAAAATGTCTTCCAACACAAGTAAGAACGATAGCCAATTATGTAATTTAGATTATCATGGCTTTGGACGTTAACAGAAATTAAAGGTGTTTAAAATACCGGCTAAAATTCGTCAAATTATAAACAGCAACTTTTCTTTGGACTAGTATTGAAATCATGCCATCCATTGCCATACATTTATATTGCTGACAACTCTTCGCCACACACCCTTTAATTTTAGAAAATTTTAAATGTACCTATGCTATTGTATAAAAGTTATACAAGTTACTTTGGTAATTATTAGAAGATGCGTCCACGTTAGCTAAACAAATTACCAATATTAATAAATTATATTTGTATAAATTATATGTAAAATATATATAAAATTAATATATATAAATAATACAAATAATATAAATAAATATATATTCGTATATATAATATATATTAGTATTGATATACACGATACGATCTAATATTTATAAGAAAAAGAAAACAAACAATATAAAACAAAACAAAAAACAAAAAACAAAATTTTTTAACTAAACTACACCTGAATATAAAATCATGACAAATTTAAAGGCTCAGCAAGAGAAACAGTTAAAAAAGATAGTAGATGACGTAATATAAATTTTCGAGGATGATATAAAAAATTTAAAATCCGAGGAATGTATTAAAGAAAACAAGCAACTAAAAAGTATAATTACATAAATGGAAAAATAAAAAGAAGTCAATTCTGTTACAAATGGAACTACGTGGTCGAAAGTTGTATCAGGGGCTGCCGAAAAAAACAAATGACCAACTATCTCTTCTTTTTGAAACCACAAAGGAACGTAAAGACCAAGAACGTAGAGAAACAAACGTCATCATCTATGAATTAGAAGCTACGCAATGTTCTTCACAGACGGTAAAACAGAAAAAGACAAATCGCAAGTAAATAATTTACTTAGTGCTATTAAAAAGAATGGAGCAAAAGTGAGATCTATTCGTCGTCTTAAATCTAAAGGAAGCATCGATCCTTTGTTTATCGAGCTTAAAGACGTTAATAACAAAAATATGGTTCTTAAAGCATCAATTAAATTAAGAAAAATCAATAAATATGAAATTGTGTATATATGTCGCGATCTAACAGATCAACAAAAGTTCTGCATTTTCATCCTCTTCAGTTACATTAAATAAATTTAAAAGCAAAACTGGCACGTTTTCCGACATAGGAAGAAGACATTAACCACTTTTCCGACATCGGAAGAAGACATCGACCACTTTTCCGACATCGGAAGAAGACATCGACCACTTTTCCGACATCGGAAGAAGACATCGACCACTTTTCCGACATCGGAAGAAGACATCGACCACTTTTCCGACATCGGAAGAAGACATCGGCCACTTTTCCGACATCGGAAGAAGACATCGACCACGTTTTCCGACATATGAAAAGAACAACTGAGTAAAAATAGTAAAACTAGTTTATATTTTTTATCGAATATGAATAAAGAAGAAAGCTTGTCTAAGGTGCTTGCAAGATTAACAGCTAAAGATGGAATTTCTTTTAACGTAATATGCACTTCTATTGATATACGTGCTGAACTGGCTATGAGTCGATTTGTCAACATACCTAAATCTCCAAACACTGTTTAAAAAATGGTATTTAATTTCTCTAACAATATAAAGAAGTGGAACTAAGTTTTCAATTTCTTTTGATGTCGATTCGAAATACCCGTTACTTAAATATCAATTTAAACAATAGAGACTGAAATTTAGGTTTAGTAAGGATTGTAGGGACAATGCCAGCTGAACACTGTGTAATTTTACAAAAGAAAAATTCTCTGCATTTGGTTTAAATCTTGAAAATGGTATTGTGTGCATAATGGCAGATGGAGCCAGCGTAATGAAAAAAATTGGAAAACTATTAAAGGTTAATCAACAGCTTGCTTTGCTCAAGGTATTCAACTGGCTATTATTTCAGTTTTATATAATACATCAGCATCAAATTGTACGCAGTAATATTTAGTCGAGGAAATTGATCATCACTCTAAAAATTTGGAAAGTGAATCTGAATTTAGTGAAAGCTGTGAATCAGATAGCGATGAAGATGGTGATGAGAGCTTTATAGTGGATAATCAAATAATTCAAGACGTAATAATTACAAACACAGTGATTGGTCCAGTGATTAATAAAGTTAGAAAAATCGTGATGGTTTTTAAAAGATCACTTACTAAAAATGATGACTGTCTTCAAAAATACGTAAAAAATGACTCAGGAAAAAACCTTCATTTAATCAAAGATTGTAAAACAAGATGGAGCAGCTTACTATCAATGCTTGAAAGGTTTCATAAGTTAAAAAATTGCATAAAAAAGACGCTTGTTGATATCAGTATTAATAATTCTATAAAAATGTCATTATAATTCTATAAAAATGTCAGATAATGAGTATGATATTGTTTCTGAACTAGTAAACGTGCTAATACCAGTAAAAGCAGCAGAGGAGGCGCTTTATCGACGCGATGCAAACCTTATAACTGCTGA